CAAAACTTTCGTTCTCAATATTGTTTGTTATATCTATTATTTATTATTATTGTTTATAGTTGTATTTAGGTTAGTTCTGTCTTATTTAGACAAAAAGAGGGAGATGTAGGGATAAGCCCTCCCCTTGGGGGCGGGCTGTCCTCGGGCGTATGTGTACTGATAAATTGGGCGGGCAGAGGCTGCGCGCCCTTCCTGTCTCCACCGGGTACTCCGCTGGAACCTTGGTTTCGTGAGTCTGGTTTTGTTATTAAACTTGTTCAAATATCTATTATCATTGGTGCTCATTAATCCAACCGCCGCAGGTGGCCCTAAACTTGGAGCAAGCCAGCAATCTGCATTCCCCAGGGCTTCTGCTGCTGTTCCTGCCTCCAGCTTCTCTCTTGAGCTCCTGTTTTGGCTTCTGTCAGTGAGGGCAGTAAACCATAAGCCACACCCCCAAGTTGCTTGGGTTTGGTGATGGTGTTTATCACCGTGTCAGAGAGGCAGACTAACTCTCTTTTGACTGTGCTAGGGATACAGACACTGGAGGGAAGGGCTTGAGGAGATGGTACCCCATTTCTGAAGCTAGATACCATTTTGTCTGTAAGTCTGGGCTACTGTGCGATGGTGTGGAATCGACCTCGGAAGGCCTTTCTTCACTGAAACATGACAACTAGCTGTTTAACTGAATCCATTTTTGGTTCAAGTGACCAAAACCAGCTCATCAGCTTCTAGGTCTTCTGCTGTAGACTTGATGATGTCTACGAAGATGCTTCTACCGGAGCCCATGTAACTCCTGTGCGCCTTCAGATACACGGAAGTGAGTCATTGAGCTGCTCGGGTAGAATAAGGTAGAAACTGTCTCAGGGGCTTCAAAATGTAGGTTCTTCTTGTGGCTCTCACGTTAAAGTGGGGTCTTAAGTCCTAAGACTGTGTAAGTATTATAATTCATGTTATGGTTGAGTACAGAGGTAATTTTCTAAAGGCAAATTACACAGAGAATTCACTGAAGAGATTAACAGGGTTAGAGAAGTTTAGTGTAATCTTGTGCTCTGTTTTGAATAAATTTGTCCCATCTTGCTAATGTTCAACCCTTCTCACAAGCAATTGAAAGGGAAGAAACTTCATGCGACCATGGTCTCCAGGCAGGGGATGTTGGAAAGTGATTGGGGCTGGGTAAGACTGAGGTGCAGTTCCCGTGACTGAGTCCTGGAAGACTCAGAGACCAGAAGAAGTACACATGCACGCTTCCTGTCTCTCACCGTGTCACCCTTGGCCTCATTCCCTTCAGGACTTGATGGCTGTCTCCTCACGCAACCTGTGACCTTGGAGCCGAGCTACGGGCCCAAATCAGCCTCTTTATAACTTCCTAGTCAGTGGGATTCTGTGATTAGCAGTAGAGAACAGAGCAGACTGGGAGCCACAGCGCCGGTAACGGTTGGAGCTGTCTGTGGAGCACCCGGCCCTCAGATATTGTGTTCTAACATCCAGGCCATTTTCCCCACAGCTCTGTGAACTCCTTCAGGGCAGCTCAGGCCTTATTAGTCTCTGAGGTCTCAATGTTCCTGATGTAATTTGTTAAGCTAATAAAGGAGTGAGCTCAGATCCTTTCGCGTCAGTTGGACTTGAAACCATTCTTTTTAAGGAAATAGATTGAATGAGTATAGATACCAGACATTTCCCCACCTTCTTTGGCCAAAAAAGAAAAGAATGTGTTCCCTACAACCTTTTGGCTAGCAGGAGACTTTTAATGGAGATCACTGGAGATGTACTGGTAAATGCCAAACTCTCAGTGAATTAGCATGGCTTGTGTGTTCCAGGAGGGAGCTTAAAGTTTTTTTGTTTTGTTTTTTCCATTTTTCGAAAAATGTTAGTATTTGCTTTAACAACATTTTTGGTTTAGTCAACTGATGAATGATGGTTTTATTGAATAAAGTTCACTGGTTTCATATCACATGAAATTGTTGTGTGATTTTTTTTTCTCTTTCTATTCTAAATTGGAACCGTATGGACACTTAACCTAGAAACACATGCCAATGTGATTTATATTTAGAATACTTCTTTTCATATTATTAACAAAATCGCTATTGTGTTCCAATCTCTGCTCTCTGAGGATAAATCTTCTGCCAATTCCTTCCTGCCACTGGGTACCTCAGAGCCCACTCAGCCCAGAGCTGAGCAACTCAGAAGGGAAAAGGCTCCCCCTTTCTCTTTAAAAGGTGGGGCAGGAGACAGCAGGGAGAGGGAAGAGCTTTAGGACCTGCCTTCTCCACGCCCGAGGAGGACAGCTCAGATTCATACTCGTGCCTTAAATAAGAAACAGGAAGAGATGGCCTCCGCGGAGAGGAGCTTTACCCTGCCTCGGACATTTGGTGTTTATCCCCTGCTCCAGGCCGAGGAGGAATTCAGACAGAACTGAAAAACACACCAGGCCTGGCCTGCTTTAAAAAGTGGAACTAGAACTCACTGTTTTCCAGGCCTGTTTGCACTCTTTTTCTCCAGAAAACAACCCTGGCATGTTCCAGAAGGTTTAGTGAATATGTGTTTCTATGCTGCCGCCCCCCACCCCCCTCCCCACCAGATACAACATGTTTAACCAATTTCCTTTACAAAGGAACTCAGGTTTTCCCTAGCGTTCTTTACTCAGCTCTAACTCAGGGATCGTAAATATGTTTACGTCTCCTGGGGAACATTCTCTTGTACTGCATTTTGAATATGTGCTGTCCAGATGTGAGAGGTTTTTACTCCCCTCCCCTTGAGAGTTTCTCTGCGCAAGAACATCACAGTGGATCACAGTGTGTTCTTCCTCCACATCCACAAGATGCCAGGCAGCTTGGTAGATGAGGATGTCTTTTGTTAGGGCAGACAAAAATCCACCTCTGTCCAATGCAGAAAGCTAACAAAGGAGATGCTAAGAGTCTGGGGGTGCTGAGAGATGATGCCAGGTTGACTTAGGTCCTCAGAGAGTCTGGGGGTGCTGTGAGGACCATGCCAGGCTGACTCAGGTCCCCTGAGAGTCTGGAGGTGCTGTGAGGACGATGCCAGGCTGACTTAGGTCCTCTGAGTCTGGGGGTGCTGTGAGACCATGCCAGGCTGACTCAGGTACATCACTTCCTGTTCCTGGATGTTCAGGTTTAGACTCTCTGTGACTTGTGGGTGCGAATAGTTGGGCTGCAGCCTGCAAGAGCCTGCAGAGCTGCCTTCCTGGTTCAGCACTGTCCCTGCGCGAAGGCTGCTGTATGTGGGAAGAACAGTGACATGAGGGTTAAATCATGGAGATTTCTGTGGCCTGAGTTAACAGTATAAGGAAGATAGTGCTGACTTCCCGCCCCACTGTAAAGGACTGACCCTTGTTTAAAAAAAGGGAAAACCTTTAAAGGGGAAGCAGATGGTCTGGGAAGCGATGCGACCTCATGCATAATTGTCTAATAAAGGGGGAATTGATAACTGTGGTTAATAGCGACACAGTAGGACTCTTGTATGCCTCTGACTGTCTTTCCTCTGGTCCTCAGAGTTGGCCTTAAAGCGTAGATAAGAGTGGTGTCTGTGCTTCTTAGGCTCACACCTTTCCTATAAAATAGCTCAAGGGACATAGACTGCTTGCTTTCTGTGGAAGGTGCTGCAAAACCTTGAGTAATGAGTTAAACCTGTTATTGTTGAGAAACAATAAGCTGAATGGTTTTCGCCAGTTTGTTAGCCCTTGTAAGTCTCCATTCTGTCACCTATGACAAGCAGAGATGGCAGCCAGGGTGGGTTTGTCCTCGGGTTCTCTAAGATCTGTTATAAACGGGGTGATCTACAACCAAGGCAGTGTGCATTGTAAAGGAAGAAAAATGTAGGCCACTGCAGAATCTGAGAAGAGAGGACAGAGGTGTGGGGGAGGGAGAGAGAAAGTGAGAAAGAGAGGGGGAGAGTGGGGGAGAGAAAGAGAGAGAGGGGGAGAGAGAGGGGGGGAGAGAGAAAGAGGGAGAGGGGGAGAGAAAGAGAGAGGAAGAGGGAGAAAGAGAGATGGAGAGAGGAAGAGAGAGAGGGAAAAAGAGAGGGGGAGAGAGAAAGAGAAGGGGAGGGATAAAGGAGGAGAGAGGAAGAGAGAGGGAGAGAAAGAAAGGAAGAGAGGGAGAGAGAAAGAGAAGGAGAGAGAGAAAGAGAGAGAGGAAGAGAGAGGGAGAGAAAGAAAGGAAGAGAGGGAGAGAGAAAGAGAAGGAGAGAGAGGAAGAGAGATGGAGAGAGGAAGAGAGAGAGAGGGAGAAAGAAAGGGGAGAGAGAAAGAGAGGAGAGAGAAGAGGGAGAGAGAGAATGATGCTAATCAAGAGATGAATTTTTTTATTTTTTGATAATCATTTGCTGAAAGTTAATAGCACAGAGTGACTAGGTTGACTCCACGGAAATAGTTTATAACTTGATTAATATCGTTGGTTTGATATTAACAATCTATTGTCCTTTGTTTATATTCTTGAGTCAGGGTAGTCTGGAACTCACCATGTAGCCCAGGCTGGCCCTGGCAATCCTTCTTCCTTCTGCCTCAGACCTGAGTGCTGGAATTACAGGTGTGTCTGCCATTTTCCCTTTCCCTTTCCACTGTGCATGTATTTGTGAGCGTCTGTGTCACAGCACGTCAGCCCACATGTGGAGCTCAGCAATTTCCTCTTTTCACCTCGCGTATTGCAGGAGTTGAGCTCAGATAGACTTGGCGTTCATTTGCAGGTTTTCATTTTCCTTTTTAACAGACAACACATTTTATATTTGAAGCTTTCAATCAAAACCTTTAAGTTTAGTATACTCAGTAAAGTCTGGAAATTTGGTTGATTTTCACCACAAAGGAAATGATGCTAAACTTATAAAAATAGAAAATCATCCTAACTGCATTTACATTTATTTTCTTGCTGTCCCCACTCATCCATATTTCTCTCTCAATCTCTCTCTCTCTCTCTCTCTCTCTCTCTCTCTCTCTCTCTCTCTCATTTTTAGGTGAGTGAAGAAGATTCAGATGCGGTGAATATCTGGAGAGGCACTGACCGAGTGTGGTGGTTGAGACTGCGCCTCAGCCTTCCTCAACTGGAAATTCTCAGTACTCAGAGGTAAAGGAAAAAATTAATTAGCACACAACTGTAGCCTCCATCTCTTGCTTAAAGAGGCCTAGACTCCGTCAGAAATGTTTTATCGTTTGTATGGGGTTAGGTGTGACCATCTTGGGTGGTCTTTGTATGTCTATGTCCCCAGGAGATTCTTCCTGGGGCTAACTGGGTTTTACAGGAGCTGAGGTTCGCTGTCTGGTTAAGGTAGTTGTGTCTCAGCAAACAGAACTTGCTGTCTCAAAGGATACTGGCGGTGCTCACTTATCAAGCGAGAAGAGGAGATGTTGCCCTTTTCAGGAAGAGGATGGGGCAGGCAGGTTTATAAGGTTAAATTAAGTTGTAAGAGCTAGCAAGAAACGATCCTAAGCTAAGGTCGAGCATTCATAACTAGTAAGTTTCCGTGTCATGTTTTGGGAGCTGGTTGGTGGCCCCAAAGAAAGCCTGCTCACTTTCCTTCTCCGTCAGCAGGGCCGGCATTTCATCCTCGGGTGAAGCCAGCTTCTGCTCCTCACTGCAGCCAGCACTGCACTCAGGTGGTTGTGTGCGCTTTTGTCCTGGAACAGAGAGAGCTAATGTGTTCTGGGGACTGAACCAGTGAGCCACAGGAAGAGCGTGTGTGTGTTCAGGGGTTTGGTACCACTGTGGATGAGTGTGGTCTGCTGCCATTTGGAGTCAGGAAGTGGACTTAGAAAGCCCTCTCTCCTGGCCTTCGTAGGATAGTTATCTTTTACATGTTTAACGCCCCACACTGCCGACAAGCACACAGCCACAGCGTGTTCAGGGAGCCTTGCCGTCGGGAACACAAGCTGGGCGTTCAAACACCAGCACCTCTGTCTACCTTTCAGGAGAGCTTTCCAAGGCCATAAGGACTTTGCCTTCACGAGTGTTTGTGGTTGTTGGCTACTATGGTAATCCTTCTGTTTGCCCATGGTGGCTGATCTGAGAGCCATGTTTACCTGTGGTAAAGGCATCTGAGCCTGTGAGCCTGGGTTCAGTGTTTGCAAAGAGTGGGGAAGGGATTTGGGGCTTTCCAGTATCAGAGGTAAGAGACTTGGCTTAGGGGCTCTCCCAGCTGTGTTTGACGGCTCCCTGAGTCCTATTTGTGGCACTTTATACTTGGCAATGGTCTGAGAAGTGAATCTAGTTTCTTCTTTGCCCTGTGTGCACAGACATTGGTGTCCTGATGGCCTGTGGGAACTTGCTCTAGTATTTATCCCAACGTCTTTCCTTCTGCCTGTTGCCAGCAGCTGATGCAACTACAGCCAAGATCAGCCTCAGCTGCATGTTCTGAAGAAATTAACTCACAAAATGTAGTAAATTGGAACTCCTAGCTAAACGCTAGCCTGTATTGCCAGTGTTGTACAGGATGGACAGTGGCCGAGACTACCTCTTCCATCTGTCTGTCTGTCTAGCACATATCTACCTATAATCCAGCATTGTCTGTCTGTCTGTCTGTCTATCTATCTATCTATCTATCTATCTATCTATCTATCTATCTATCTATCATTAGTCATCTATTTATCCACCCATCCATAGTGGAGATGGAGACCAGATGCAGAATTTTGTTTTGTTTTTGCTTTTTGTTTTTTTGAGACAGGGTTTCTCTGTGTAGCCTTAGCTGTTTTGGAACTCACTCTGTAGACTAGGCTGAACTTGAACTCATAGAGTTCAAGGTAGGTTGCCTCTACCTACCTTGAGTGCCTGGATTAAAGGCGTGCTGACCCCACCTGGCCTTGACTAGCAGATAGAGCTGGTGGACCTGATTTGGGGGCCAGAAGAAGAGCCAGGAGTGTGATAGTACTGAAATCCTAGAGTATGGGTCACTAAGGCAGGAGGATCAGGGTTTGGTGAGCCCTTGGACATAGAGACTCTCTTAGAAAAAAAAAGATAAAAGCTTCAACTAATACGTGATCCTGGATTTTCTCTGAATCCAAGGCTACTATGATGTCTTGAAATGCCCACTGTTTTTATTTTATAAATGGGATCAGAAAGTTACGGCGCTGACCAAATTTCCACCCGAGGTCACAGGATGAGATGGTCCCACAGGACACATTTAAACGGGTGGTGGGAAGTAAAGAGAAAGCTGCTTCCTGCTGCTCCCCGTGATTCCTGCTCTTGTAGTTGACTTTTACGTAAGTGCTATTCTTGACGTGAAGCAAATACACTCAGATCGTCCATTTGTCCTAAGAGCTGCCCATCCCTACTGTCGTTTACAAGACTCTCCCTCTACCTGTGCTGGCTTTGTTCAGTTGTCGTACACTCCCTAGGAAACATTCCAAACGTGTGAACTGTATTTTCAAGGTGGTGCTTGATATTGGACTTTGTCTTTTCTGCATTATTCTCCTTTGTTTTCAGGACTTTCCCATCAGTTCCAATCATCGTTCATTGATGATTGTCTCGGCTGACTTGAGCTACCCATAGTCACCAGTAGACAAGCAATAATTGTCCCACAGATCTGTCCTTCACAAACACAGTTATCCTTCCTCACATCTAAGTGCTGCTTCTGTTCCTGGACTGTCATTTAAAACCTCCTGTCAAAAAAAGGCAAATGCCCAGCATTCTCTTTGTCTAGACAGAGCAAGTGAGGTTTATTAACTTTACGCTTATGGAAATGTAGTTGAATTGGCGTGTTTCCTCAGTTCATATATGAATGAAGACTCTTGAGGACTTCCTTAACGTAAGTTTTCTAATAGCAAGCGAAGGGACGATTGAGAATAACTGAGCACACAAGGAGAACCGGGAAGTAAGTTACAGGGGTATTCCTAATCTGGAAGTCTAAAACCAAATTTCTCTCAAACCCGAAACATTCTGAGAAACAGCATCAAACTGCCATGGAAAATTCCACAGCAGGCCCCATGTGACCGGTCCCAGTTAAAACACAGGTGCACTGAAAATATTGCAGCAAATTACCTTTAGGCTATGTGCATAAATTGCAAATAAAATGTAAGTGATTTCCCTGGCTCAGCTTGGCTTCCATTCCCAAGACAGCTCATTATGTATGCAGATATTCCCAAATCCAGCAAATCTGAAATCTGAAACCCTCCTGGTTTCAAGCCCTGTGGATGAGGGATGCTAATGTGTATTAACAACAGCTGGCAGATGATGGACGGATGGAGCACTGGGGTTGTTGTCTAATCCTGCCTTGCCACGAATCGGTGAAAGGCTATCTCGGGAGATCTTTTTACACAAAAGTCTGTCACACTCTTTCCTTTGGTTGGCTCACGTTTTGTGATTTTTCTGGGTTCAGTTGTTCTTTCTGCCTCCCATGTGGCTTTGCATGATGTTCAGGTTAGTTTCAAACTCCCGGTCCTACCTAAGCCTGCTGGGTGATGGGATGACAGGGATGTACCCCCATACTCCACAGCTTCTGTCACCTCAAGAGCTGCATGGCTGTCGTTCAGCTGCTTGTGGTGCTGCTGAGTCTTTGTGCCAGCCAAACGGGCTTTGTACCTGGCTCTGCCACAGTGGCCGCCATTTCCACAGACCAAGGAGATCCCATGTGTCCTATTAACTGATGGAGAGTGGTCCTGCTCCTGGGGTCTGTATGGTGAGACCTTCAAGAGTGGTTTTCTCAGCCACCGGGGAGTAGGTACATACAGAGGAAGGGATCACTCAGTAGAACCCCTGGGGTCTGCGTTCCCTACAGGATGCCCCATAAATTAAAAAAACACTATGGATCCGATTGATCCAACTCTTTGAATCTTCGTTCTTTTTGTTTTGGTACTCACCTATAGCAGAGACCAAGAGTCTTTGGAAGGCTTCTGGCAGATAAGGGGAGGTCCGTGGAACTTGGGGATGGCACAACGCCCAGGCATCCCTCCAGGACACCCTCCTGGATGCATATTCCAGGCTGCAGCCTCAGAAGTGGGCATCACCACTGGGCAGGAACTCCGTGGGCTGTGCAGCAGGGGCTGGCCACTCAGTCCCGTGAGAGCATGTGTAGCCCGTATACCAAGTCCACATTTAGTGTTCCTTTAAGTTGTGCCTTTTAGCCAGGTTTGGGATCTGTCTGGAAATGTGTCTCTCCTCAGGATTCGGCCCTTTGCTGGGGAGTAGACTGTGTGGACCAGGAAATCTTAGCGGCTGCTTAACTTCTTCCATCTGCTACCAGCTCTGTTCGGGTGGGTTTTGTTTGCTTGCTGTTTGTTTTTAAAATAACATAGGCCAATGTGAAAAAAAGTGCAAGGTGGGTACGAAAAACGTGAGCAATCTGATGGAGACGCTTCTGGAGTTACTAAGGAAACTAGGGAAGGTCTCTCTGAGAAGCAACAGAATTTTTGTTCCTTTAAACACTGATTATTAAGGAAGGCTTCAAAATGCCTTGTTTGATATTTGATGAAAACGTGGAGTCAGAGTGAGAGACTTTCCCAGAGCTGTTACAGCTGTTCCCCAACAGGAGCCCAGAACCTCACTTTCTGACTTGGCTGGGCAATAGCCCCTCAGGACAAGCATTCTCCGGCTGACATTTCATTTTTTAGCATTTATTTTTAGCAGCATATGTTGACTTATAAGACAATGGGTTTCACCTCCTCCGCAGTGCCAGCATTTTCATGGTCAGGAAAATGGAAGGAGAGCCTTAGGCCCGTTTTAGCTAAGGAGAAGGCGGCGGGAGGATTCTGGTTCGGAACATCTTTGGCAAACCGTCGCCAGACGTGTACTCTCAGAATTCCACCCAGGCTTCACCCGGGTTTCCCAATCAAGCCTTTCCCCATTGCTCTCAGCTGCCTGATCCTTGGCCCCATTCTAAACAAAGGCCGTGTTTATAATCAGAAAAACCTAGAGCCCAGCTGAGGCTGAGGTCTTCCTGAGCCAACGGAGGCTTCATTTTGGAAACGGCGTTTTTGCTGACAGTTCAGAGCTCCCTGACCCCTAGCTTTACAGAGTTTTGCATTCATCTTGTTAGGACGAATCTGAATGTCTCTTTGATGTAGCTGGAGCTGGAGCCCAGACCTGCAGACTGCACGTTACTCCATGGCTGGAGCTGGAGCCCAGACCTGCAGACTGAACGTTACTCCATGGCTGACAGCCAGTTGGCTCACACTCGACTTCAGAGAGTCTGAGCTTTAAAAATAAGTAATTTCTTTTTTCCCTGGGGTGGAGGTAGACTTAATTAATTTGTAATTTGTAATATACTTTGAAGAATAAAAGGACTTTCTAGAAACACTAAACATTGTTACAACTTCTGTGTTTGTAAGCAGACTATTAGCACAGTTGAGGCCATTGCCACATCAAAAATAAAGGGAGGCTGGTCCGTGTTCTGGTTGATTTAACAAATGCAGAAAGATGTAATTCATTTTGTGAAGCTGACCTGTCCCCTCCCAGAGGAGGAGGCACTGTGGAATAAACCAGCTCCCCTGTCTGCAGTGTTCAGACGAATCAAATGTCTGTAGATCTTCATTCTTATTTTGTAGGTACAACATTTACAAATGGATCACAGCACACAGGTTTGGCTCTTACAAAACCAAAACACTTCAGAGTAGACCCTTCTGTTGCCAGAGTTAGGGTACTCAGAGAGAATATGGAAGGCCTGATTAATTTGAATTTCAGAAAACAACATGTAATATTTAGAATGTTATGAAAGAACTAAATGGAGAAAGAAATTGTATTCTAGTCATACAGTGGAGTATAACAACAATGAGAGCCTCGCTGTGAGACAGAGACGAATTCCAGAAACATAGGAGAGAAGGAAGGCGAGTTAATGAAGAAGGGCATGTGTCTCATTTACAGAAAACTTGAAAGGGGACGATATAAAATTTCGGTTTCCTCAGCTCAGGTGGATTTCCAGGAGGCTTGGGACTGGGAGAAGGCGGGGGAGTGAGGTGCTGAGGGATTGTAGTGTTGGGTCCCATGACCCTAGTGCTGATCACACAGGGGTCTTCATTTTAGGAGACTCGGGAGGTCTCTCTCACACTCCTGAACAAACAAATGAGGGGAGAGGACAAAAAGCAGATGTCTTAGCTTATTTAATAGTGTTCATAGACCAAAAAGAATTTGAGGTAGAAACTTGACTTTATTACATAGCTGTTGCAGTGATAAAAACTGACAAAGGAACTTTAGGGTGAAGGGTTTACTTTGGCTCACAGTTCTGGGGTACAGCCCACCCACCGTGCTGAGGAAGACATTGGACTTGGCCTGCTTGGTGCCCCTGCCTTTGGCTATCAGACTATCGAAGCAGTGCAATTTCCTAGGAGTGGTCTTTGTGGAGAAGAGGCTGAAGCCCTGAGGTCAGCCGAGGAGGAAGTTGTCTCTGGGAGAAAGACTTGAGAGCTGACAAGGGTGGGTGGGACTGCCCAGTGATGTGAGTCTCCACCCACAGGTCAGTTTAAGAACGTGTAAAAGCAAAGAGCCTTTATTCCTGTTCAAGTTCGAACTCAGATTCTCCATGTGTCCAATGTATTGGTGCAATTAATTGGAGAGCCACGAGCACAGTTGGTGTGGATTTTTATAATAGCAGAGGTTGGGGTGAGAGATTTCTAAAGTTCAGGACTCTGATTGGCTGACATTTGTCTAGGGGTGTCCTGGTGAAAAGGGGATGGGTGTGTGCTGGGTTAAGGGACTTCAAGCGATTTTATTTACAATAGTCTCAAGGTGACCTTGTACCTCCTGTAAAAACCTTGACAGTTATATACCATGAACTCTACCTTACTCTTTGTAGGTATTTATTATATGAAATTAAGACATCTAACACATTATCTAGGTTACTATGTGAGTGTGTTCCTCCTAAATATTGAGTATATAATGAATGATAACAACCCGGCTTTGTTTGTTTGTTTATGTTTGTATTTACTTATATACCAATAAAGTATTAGTAATTTTCTTTAGATGGTCTCTTCCTGGATGGTGCCTGGGTAGTCTCAGTTTGTGGTCTTTTTTGGAACTAGGTATTGCCTTAGGATAAACTATTGAGACGCAGGCCTACTTTCCTGTTGGTCTCTGTAGAGCCTGTCTTTGCATGTGTGTACCAAGCTTCCCAGGATCTCTGGGTCCCTTTGCTCCTTTTCCCTGTAGGCTCACATAGAATAAATCTCCCTTTTCTACTTTTACTATTAATTTGTCTTTATAAATTGACATTTAGGCAATGGTGGCTAAGCCTGGCTTGTTGGAGATAGCCTATAACTCTAAGCTAAGGGATAACATGGCAGCAGGCTGGGAAGGCATGGTGTTGGGATCTTGAAGCTGTCTGGGCGTGTTGAGTCCACCACACCCAGGAAGCAGGGAGTGAACAGGAAATGGGTCAGGGTTACTGAGTCTCAAGGTGACCTTGCACCTCCAGTGACCTGCTTCTTCAATTTCACATTCAAATGACATTCAAATTCATTATTTCCTCAAGGTTTTGAGGAAATAAAAACCTTGACAATTATATACCATGAACACTATCTTACTCTTTGTAGGTATTTATTATATGAAATTAAGATGTCTAACACAATCTATATGAATACTATGTGAGTGTATTCCTCCTAAATATTGAGTATATAATGAATGATAACAACCTGGCTTTAATTGTTTGTTTATGCTTGTGTTTATTTATATACCAATAAAGTCTTCACCGTTTAGTGGGGATGGAATGAAGCAGTAATCATGAGGTTTGATTGCAAATACCCAGTGAGTAAGTAGCTGGTCTGTAAGATGAGTGAGATTGGGGCTCAAATGCACAGCATGGTAGCTGACTCTGGCAGGGTGGACTGTGAGTGAGCACACTTGGGCAAGTTCGTGTGCACAGATGGTAAATGTGTGCTGTGATACAATGATGACCACCATCCAGCTGGGAACAGCTATGTACTGTGGAAGATTGTATCATATTTTCCAAGATGTAGCAGGGGGTGGGGCTGTATCTCAATAGTAGACAACTTGCCTGCCATGAACAACACTCTGTGTCTGAAAATACCCAAACAAACAAACAAACAAACAATGTTTTCCTGGAATAAATCTGTACTGTCATAGGTTAAACAAAACAAAACAAAACAAAAAAACTGGGGGGCTAAGGTGATGTGGGATTCCCCTTTGTATTCTGTGAATACAATTGGTTAATAAAGAAACTGTCTTAGGCCTTCGCAGGGCAGAATATAGGTAGGCAGGGAAAACTAAATTGAATGCTGAGAGAAAAAAGGTGGAGAAGCCATGTAACCCTGCCAGAGATAGATGCCAGAACTTTATCCAGTAAGCCACAGTCTTGTGGCAATACACAGATTAATGGAGATGGGTTAAATTAATGTGTAAGAGCTAGCCAAGAAGAAGCTAGAGCTAATGGGCCAGGCAGTAATTTAATTAGTATAGTTTCTATGTGATTATTTTGGGTCCAAGTTGCTGGGTGGCTGAGAAACAAACAAGCAACCTCCTACTACAAGTTGGTGTACCAAATGTGGGGTTGACTAAATCCACGTAAAACCTGAGAGGGCTTGGAAAAGAATTCTAGACATTAAAAAACAAAGTTTAGTTGCACTTTTTTTTTTCTAGATGGGCTTGCAGCAAGCAGGGGTGCTGTGGCTGCTTTAAGAGAGGTGCAGTAAAAACTGCATGGCTTCTTTTAAAAAAATGGCGGCTTCCTGGTCATTAGCACAAACAGCTCTGGCTCTTTCAGGAGGTCTGGCTATGGATCATTTAAATGGGGTCTGTGAGCAGTGTGCTACAACTTTCTTAATGGCAACATAGACCCTCTGTGTGCCTGAAAATGGGGCTGTGAGGATGGCTTTCAGAGGACTGTGCAGAACAAGCAGGCAAGACTGCGGAGTTGGTCTTAGCCATGGCCACTCAGCAAAAAAAAGGTGTTCTTGGCCAAAAGATAATTACAGATACACAATAAAGACAAATTCAGGAGGAAAAGACCTCTAAATGGGTTACAGTGAAGGTCTCTGAAAGATTTGAAGAATACCTATCTAACTGAAATATATCTCTATATATTTAGAAAACCTAACTAACATGACACATCTGCTCCTGGCAACACCAATTATTTCAAGAGAAAGATGGGTGTCAAATAGGCTTCTTATGGAGTTGGTTAGCCATTTAGGCAAGAAACTGCTTTTGTCTGGACTGCTTGATGGTATGTTGAGTGAACTGGACATGCAGGACCCACAAAAGAATGACTGCTGAATTTGCCTAAAAGTGAGATGATCTTTAGGGGTTCCTGCTTCATGAAAGAGTGCGAGACATTCTGTAGACACAGAAAAAAGTGACTGACAAACTGCCAATATAGATGGAACTGTCTTTCAAATTTCCCCCTTCATGGAAAAGTCTGTCAGATACTGTGGGCCTGTAGGCTGAAGATGGATGCTTCAATGGTACTGAAGAACTTTGGGTGACTGTCCAGGCAGAGATGTCTTTGTTAATTCTAGAGTTTTAGAAATTGCTTACAATGCACTTCTTGTTTACTTAGGTAATATTATATCTTTCTGGAGTCTTTGAGTGAGTTGAAGAATATATAGTTATAGTTTTCCTTAGTTATGATAAAAGATAAAGTAGATATAAATATTGTAACTGTAATTCTTGCTTGATACCTATTTTGTTATATGTAATTTTTCTGTGTTAAAGTTAAAACTTTCCTTTTTACTTAGACGGGAAACGGGAGGTGATATGGGATTCCCCTCTGTATGCTGTGAATACAATTGGTTAATAAAAAAAAAAAACTGTCCTAGGCCCGTAGGGCAGAATATAGGTATGCAGGGAAAACTAAACTGAATGCTGAGAGAAAGAAGGCAGAGTCAGTGAGATTAATGGAGATGGGTTAAATTAATGTATAAGAGCTAGCCAAGAAGAAGCTAGAGCTAATGGGCCAAGCAGTGATTTAATTAATACAGTTTCTGTGTGGTTATTTCAGGTCTGAGTAGGTGCCTTAGAGGGGCTCCGTGTAAACTGTTTACACCCCGTTCTTCCCTCCCATACATGTTACATGCTGTCTTTATAGACTATGGACTTTATATAATAACCATCTAATGTGTAAGAACTATGTAATGA